GTGATTCTGGGATTCTGTGATTCTGTGAAAGACCTGACCTGAAATTACAGGGGGGAATTCACTGGAAGTTGACAGTAAAGTGCAGAGGGGTAGCTTTAGTAAGGAACTTCAAATCTCATCTCAGATACTTGCCTTTGGTTAGGGAGCTGTAAACTTCCGATTTGGCATCTTCAGGAAGAATTCTCAGCTTTCTAAACCATTCACTGATGGTGCTGTGCCAGCTCACAGGGAAGTCTCGTGTGCCGTGCGTGTTTTTGCCCTGATCTCTGATCCCGGGTTTTCCCTGTTGTGCTCTTCCCGGCTCCTGCTGTCGGGTGCTGGCATTAGTGGGAATCTTACACACGTTGCCAGCTCTGGTGTGTTTTGTTTTTTCTGTAGGTGTTACACCAGACGTTCCCTCAGCACACGTTCCTGATGAACGGCCTGATCCATGGAGTCAAGGTGAGGAATGTTCCATCCAGGCTTTCTTTTGAGTCTGCGATCAGTGCCCCACGTGGCGAGCCCTCACCGTCTGTGTCATCGCTGACGCCAGACAGCGTTGGACAGACAAACGGTCACATTTTGGTTTCGAGGCTCGTTGGCAGACCTCGTGCCAAATGGAGAATCGACACAGCACAGACCTGAGGAGCCTTGCGGAGTTGATCTCGCTGAGCGGCACTAACAGCGTCCTGCTTGTCAGCAGGGTCTGGGCTGGAACAGCTGCATGTTGCAGCTAGAAATATCCTAATAATAATAACAGCATCCCATCGGGTCTGCCCGTCTCAAAGAGAAAGCTTTCCCTGGAACTGCAGCAGATGTTAACGGGGTGGAGCTGTGCCAGCACCTTTCTGGGTGCTGGCAGGGCAGCTCCGGGCTGCGCAGGCTGCCTGGGAAGAGCACAGCTGCGGGCTGAGCCCTCGCAGAGAATGGGAGGTGATTGGAGAGTGTGGCAGCACCTACCTGGTCGAGGATTTTTTTTTCTCTCTAAAAGGATGTGAGCGGCTTAGCAAACAGCTCTGTTTGGTGATAGTGCCTGCTTGTGGAAACTAGGAATGGATTGTCTCCTTGCGTTGTTCTCTCAAGATGATGATGTCAAAAGCTCTCGCTATGGACAACCAGAATTTGACTGAGGGGTTTCTCTCGGTCACCCTGTCTGTCTGTCTGTCTGTCTTAGGGTCTGCTTTCTTTTCTAAGTGCCCCACTGATTGGTGCTCTCTCTGATGTCTGGGGCAGGAAATCCTTCCTCCTCCTCACTGTCTTCTTCACATGTGCACCAATTCCCCTTATGAAGATCAGTCCGTGGTGAGTTTACCCGCGTTGTAACCAAGGGGCTCTGAGGAGAGGGATGAGCACGAGGCTGAGCAGTGGGGATGTGTGGGTGAGATGGAAGAGTCTGTCCAGCGGAGGAGGATGCTCAGCCTTGAGACTAATTTACTTGTCTGGTTCTGCTGGAGGGTTCTGTGTCGGGGAGAAGGAATCTGTCTTTCCTCCCCTGGTGCCTCTTCTCCTGATCAGTGCAGTATCACTGTTGGGGCACGTTGATGGCTCCTTCCTGTGTGGGGAAAAAAAAGTAATAAAACTTGATGAGCCACCAGGCTGAAGCTCGGTGTTCCTGGGCGCTTTCTGGTGCAATGAAGTGGGATGGACTGAAGGAAGAATAAGGGCAAGGTTCTAATTCAGCAGTTGTGGGCTGCGGTGTGGTTGCTCTCTAACTCTGCCTTTGGCCGTGCCTGTTCCAGGTGGTACTTTGCCGTCATTTCCATGTCTGGAGTCTTTGCTGTCACCTTTTCTGTGATTTTTGCCTACGTTGCTGATATCACCCAGGAGCATGAGCGCAGCACGGCCTACGGCTTGGTAAGGAGCTGAATAACTGGCTTGTCTCTTCAAGAAATATTTGTGGCTTTGCAGGTAGGAGAGGTATAAAAACACGGTGGGAGATTTATTGACAAGCCTGAGGATGGAATCAGTGAAAAGATGATACACGCTTCACTGATCGTACGAGTCTCCCTGCTCTTCTGTTTGTGATTTAGCGCTGAGGGAGAGGGCTGATTTCTGTGCCATCTGAACAGCGGCTGTATTGTTACTTAGAATGATGGAGTCATGGAATCGTTATCCTTTAATGCAGCCTGGTCCGTGAGCTTCCTTGCAGCAGGAGAGGAGGCAGGCTGGGATGCTGCCGTGCAGACAAGCAGCCTGTGATCCGGTCCTTTCTACGGGGTTACTGAAAGTGTCATATAGGGATTGCTAGGATAGATTTAATTTCCCTTTGCTAGAACTTAGCCTAGATTGCACCCAGAGAACACGTCACCTTCCTGTCTGCAGGAGTCCCTGCTCACCTGGATTGTCAAAGCTGGCAAAGCTGGGACCCTTGGGTTACTCTAGAGGAGAAAGAAGAGGCTGTATTAATATTTTATGCTTCCAGGTGTCAGCCACGTTTGCTGCTAGTCTGGTCACGAGCCCAGCAATTGGTGCGTACCTGTCCGAAGCCTACGGCGATACCTTGGTGGTTGTGCTGGCTTCAGGTGTTGCTTTACTGGATATTGGCTTCATCCTGCTGGCTGTGCCAGAGTCTCTGCCGGAAGAGATGCGCCCGGTCTCTTGGGGAGCTCCGATCTCTTGGGAGCAAGCAGACCCGTTTGCTGTAAGTAACCTCGCTGCTGCTTTTCCATGTGCTGGTAGTGTTATGTTTGCTGTAGTTCTGCTGGTGTATCTCAGAAGGAAGATGTGTGCCACAAGAGGTGAAGGATGCGAGGCTCAGATTAACCCTGTCAGGGGAACAGTGTTCGTTGACAGCAGACTGCACGTACCCAGAGCTGTCTGTCAGCTTCTGACTGATCTCATCCAGCTACAAACCTGTAAAAGCAGCTCCAGGTGTCCTGAAGCAAGAGCATCTTGTTGATGCGCTCGTACCCTTGCTCTGGTGTGCTGTGGCAGTGTTCGCATCTTCCTCTGAAACGGTCTCTGGCTTCAGTCAAGCGCTCGCTTCTTAGATATAAGATTGTGACTCAAGCGCTTGCTTTTGCTGTCTCTGTTCCTGGAGAATATTTTGTGATAGTGACCCTTTTTTTGATTCATTTTTTAATTCCCCACCCCTCTTCCCTACAGTCCTTGCGGAAAGTGGGTCAGGATTCTACGGTGCTGCTCATCTGTATCACCGTCTTTCTCTCCTACCTTCCTGAAGCCGGGCAGTACTCCAGCTTTTTCCTGTACCTGCGACAGGTCAGTCTTGCGGTGAGGGAAGACTCTGAGTGCAGGGAATCCCAGACTACAAATATTACCTTAAATGCATGTCCTGAGGAAGCTAATTTTGGCCAACAGCTTTGTAAAGTTGAAGTTATAAGAAATAGTGACTTGTTCCAGCTTTCCTGAAAAATGTGGGAGCCTGGCAACACTCCAGGCCCTTTGCTTGGCTTTGCGCTGGTGCTCTGCCTGTCCATCCTGTCCATGCCGCTTCCAGGCATTTAAGGTGAGCCCAACGTTTAAAGCTGTTTCTCCAGCCAGAGGAAAATCTTCCATTTCATCCCTGTGGCAGCAGGGAGGTAGAGGAAGGCACGGTTGATCAATGGTTAAATACCTGATAAGCGATGTGGGTAAACATGAGTGACACTGATGGAGCGGCTTTTCTCGGGTGGTACAAATCTCTTGCCTGAAAAGTCCCTTGTTGGTGTTTCCACAGGTCATTGGTTTTTCCTCGGAGACTGTGGCAGCTTTTATTGGTGTAGTTGGAATTCTCTCTATACTGGCTCAGGTGAGAAGCAGTTTCCCTCTTGGCTCTAGCAGTCTGGTTGTAAGAATGTCCAAAATTCCTGGTAATTGGGGCTGGTGCATTGTCAGAATCCCTGTGGCCACACAGACATCGCTGGACCCACGCATGGCTGCCTGTGGTCCTCTTTCTTCTCTTTTGGATGTAGCGGTTTGTGGAATAACAAACTGCGGTAACGTCTGGGGTGGCCCTGTGGTGCTCTGCCGGGGACAGGGACGTGCTGGTTTCTAACGCAGCATCAGGAGGGTGGAGGAGTGTGTGTGCCTGGCAGCCAGGCTCACAGCAGCATCAGCTCCCCCGGGTTCCGTCCTCTTGCCTTCCAGTGTTGTCATCTGCCTTTGCACTTCCTCTGAAAGCGCCTGTTTCTCTTTCCAGACAGTAGTGCTGGGAATTCTCATGCGTTCGATAGGAAATAAAAACACCATCCTGTTGGGACTGGGCTTCCAGATCCTGCAGCTTGCCTGGTACGGCTTTGGATCGCAGCCTTGGTAAGAGTTTGCCCGTGTTTGTCTCGTGGCGTCGGCAGGTTTCTCCCCCCGTCTGCGGCTGGCCTCCTGGCCCCTAACCACTCCCCCTTTCTCCCCAAGGATGGTGTGGGCCGCAGCAAGGATGATGTGGGCCGCAGGAGCGGTGGCGGCCATGTCCAGCATCACCTTCCCAGCCATCAGCGCCATGGTGTCGAGGAATGCAGACCCCGACCAGCAGGGTGGGTCGCCTGGGGGATTGTCTGGGGGGGTGAGTTAATGAAAAACAAGTTTCTTCAGAAGGCTGGAGACATACCTTCCTCCCCTGGCTCTGTCCCCAGGCGTGGTGCAGGGGATGATCACCGGAATCCGGGGCCTGTGCAACGGCCTGGGGCCGGCGCTCTATGGCTTTGTCTTCTATCTCTTCCACGTGGAGCTGAATGAAATGGCGGAGGTGGAGACGTTGGGTAAGGCCTCCAAACCCAACATGGCCAACCCTACAGATGAGGTAACCTTCAGCTTTATCGCTCCATTTGCTGGGCTGCTGCTGTCCTTGCACTCGAGCATTCACCATTCCTCTGTGTCTCCCTACAGAGCAGCATCATCCCGGGGCCCCCGTTCCTGTTCGGGGCTTGTTCTGTCCTGCTGTCGCTGCTGGTGGCCTTGTTCATTCCAGAACACAACCTCGCGCTGCGATCGGGCGGCCACAAGAAGCACAGCAACGGAGCCCAGACCCATCCCCACAGCCCGCAGGCCGGAGGGGCGGACGGCAAGGAGCCCCTGCTCGAGGACAGCAGCGTGTGAGGTTGGGAGAGGAGGAGCTGGCTCGCGTCTCCGCTCCAGGCTGGGGATGGACTTGGCCAGTTGGAGGTTGGGGAGAGAGGGTGGGGGGAGAGGAGAAATGGGGTCACAGACCGTGCTGCTGACAGCTAATGAGAAGGGACAGGGCTTCCCTTCGAGCCAAATACACCCAGCTGGTGCAAAAACGGAATTGTATCATCTGGTGCTGATGGGAAGGGGAGATCCTGAACTGCTCCATGGGAAGGGATGGTTCTTTACAGCAAACCTGCCCTCGTACGTCACGGTGTGACCTGCCCGTTACTCGGCTCGCCAGTGGAACGCTGAGGAGCTCGCGTTGTCTTTGTTCTCTAACGGAGATGCCGGCCAGGGTAAATGAGGCGTCTGTCCCATGCCCCCTCCCCTCACAGAGCTGGTCCTGGCTCCGATCCCCCGCAGCGCTGCCCTCGGCCCGGGAGGCTGGTCCTGCGCAGGGCGTGCAGGCTGCTGGGACCCCGGTGCAAGGGAGCGCAGCTGTCAGCTGTCAGCGTGCTCTGCCCCTTCTGGCCCAACTGAAACTTAGACCCAACCGAACCCACTGCCTTTAGTGCTCTGAGGAAGATAAAAATCAAGAAGTGAAGTCACAGGTGGCATAAGGGGAACAGGCAGATGAGAGAAAAGCAACGACATGAATTACAAATGCTTAGAGGGTCCACAGCGTTTGTATTTCTGGTTTTTCTCTTTCTGTTACGCTGACGCCACGTTTGTCTGTCGGTACCTCCGCAGGCAGTAGGTGGAAGGGTTTTTCAAAGTCTCTTTCTGGAGCTGTAAGAGTTGTTGGAAAATACAGTTCTCTGAGGGTTGGAGAAACAACTAAACTCTGCGGAGCACTTTGATAAAGCATGTTCCTGAGAGAAAGGTCAGAAAAACAGCTGTTTGTCTGGAGCACTCTTATAAAGCATGTTGATTTTTCCCCAGGCTCTTGCCGTCTCATATTAAAACCAGATCATGACTGTAGCTCGTTTTCTCAGTCCAGAAGATCCTGGTGGTGGTGATTGCCATTGATGTGAATGTACAGGTCTGGATTCCACGCCAGCGTTTCTCAGTCTGCTGTGAAGCTTTTGTTTTGTTGCAAAGTGGAATTGCAGCCCCTGCTGCAGGGTTCAGCACTGTTTAGAAGGAGCAGCAGAGACTTGGAGTGTTGTGAAGGGCGCTCAGACAGACGTCCGGGGAGGGCTCGGCTGTTGACAGATGCACAGATACAGCAGCGGGCAGGACACGATTGTTCTCATTGGAGCGAGACCAGGAGTGGTGGCGTTGATCAGTCCCGGGGGAGTAAGGACCAGGCTGGGAACACTTAGGAAAGGAGCTGTTCAGGGAATTGAGGAGACGATGGCCAAAGCCAGTCCCGTCTCCTCAAACGGGCATGTGCAGCAGCATCGCCCCTAGGTGGGGTCCTGTCCCTGGGTGTGGGACAGGTGACTGGGGAGAGGGGCCTGAGGGGAGGCGGCGCTGCCACGGACAGGCAAAAACTGCCCCGGACAGGCGGAGAGCTGCCTTTCCCCGTCGGGTCCTGACAGCGTCGGGCCGCCGCCTGCCCAGCCTGGCCTGAATTCATCATTTAATGTCTGCTTAACAATTTTTTGGACCAGTTAGTTCTTGGAGGTGGACGTTCAAGTGATAAATTCGTGGCTTGCTTTGCATTAATCAGCCTGGAGCCCAGCTCCCACAATCAGAACTGTGCGAGCAGGGGATGGTCCACACAGAGGGCAGCCCCTCGGCCTCCGAGGGTTTGCTGGTGTGGGTCTGATCGCAGGGCTGGAGAACACAGCTAGCGGAAAGCCTCAGTGACCTGCGGTGACTCCGGTTTTCCCGAGCTCATTGTGGTGATGCTCCAAATTCCGGAACGTGAGTGGGATGGTCCACAGGGTGCGTGCACAGCGAGCGGCTTTCCTGAAGGAAATCCAGTCCCCAGCTTCCCAGCACAGTCCCAGCCCTGTGTCGCTCACAGAAAAACCTTTTTCAGGCTGGAGCTTTACCAACTGGCGATTCATTTATTTTCACTCTGAAATGGACCGGGGTGGGTTTGTCCCTGACACGCAGATGGAGTGAAACGAAACACGGAATTGGAGCTTCCCGGGCAGAGCAGAGCGGAACGTGACAGAAAAGACGAGCATCATTTATATGACACAAAGTATACAGAGATATATTTTTAAAAGTCCTCTCCTTTCTTGAATAGTTTATTGAAACCGGTGTGTTTCCTGTCCCCTTCCCCTGCCGGCGTTACCTTGGCCTCTCCTGCCCTTCAGACCGCAGAGCTCCCCGGGCGAGCTTCCTCCTCGGTCCCGTCCGTTGCCGCGCCATACCCGGGTTTCCAGCGATGCAACATCCCAGGTTTGTGAGTGGTGGACCTGGAGCATTCTGGTCACTTCGTCAGCCCCGAGCTCGGGTGCAGGTGACACCGCAGGTCACCTCTGCCGCAGCCGGGCTGTGCGAAGGGCTCCGCGTGGCAGAGGCTCCTTTGGCTGACGGGGGCACGGTGCCAGGCGGCGGCACCGGTGGCCGGTGCACTGTGGGTGCCGTGAGCGGCATCAGGGCGACTCGTACGTCGGTCCCTCGCTCTGCTGGCGAGGGACTGGCTCTG